CCCGCTAGCTTCTCCGCCTCCTTCCCGCACATTTCAGCGCGGGAGCTGAACGCTCGCAGGCGCGCCGCCAGGTCTGCGGGCGGCCCGCGGGAAAGAAACTCAAGGCCGGGGTCGCGTATCATCAATCGGTTGTCCATCGTCCAAAGTTGCACTGGCGACGTACTGGTTGAACGCGGAGCGAGCAGCATCACGCGCGTGCCTGAACGCCACGCAGGTACAGTGCACGCGCGATTGGGACTTCAGGTCGATCACGCGCGTCTCCACCAGGCTTGGCAACACCACGCGACTGAGGATCTCACTGCGGTCTGCCATGCTGCTGTCCGCGAATGCAATGCGCTGCCTGCAAGTAAGGCGGCGGCGTCCACTTGTCTCAGAAGATGTTCCCGCGGGCCCGAAGGGCGACCGCCAGCTCGAGCCGCGGCGCCGGCAGGCCAGATAAGGATCATGCAACAGCAAAGACGATGACAGAGCAACGAGGTATCGGCGAGTGCATGACCGGCCTCCGTTTCCTGCACTTCTTTCCTGTAGTTCCCCTAGCTCATCGAGCTCAGCAGATGTTTCTGCGGGTCCGAAGGACGACCGCCAGCTCGAGTCGCAGCGCCACGTGGCACGAACCGCAGAGCAAGGGCACGCGAGCATTGCTCGTGGTCAGAATCTGAGTCCCCGTGGTGCCTCACTCCGCTGGCCACCCACCAGCAGCCCTCGAAAGTGGCGACAGTTTCACAGATCGCAGCCGCCCAGGGGTGGCGAGGTCTAATCTGAGTCCCCGTGGTGCCTCACTCCGCTGGACCCACCAGCAGCCTCGAAAGTGGCGACAGTTTCACACAGGGATGGCGAGGTCTAATCTGAGTCCCCGTGGTGCCTCACTCCGCTGGACCCACCAGCAGCCCTCGAAAGTGGCGACAGTTTCACAGATCGCAGCCCCCCAGAGATGGCGAGGTCTAATCTGAGTCCCCGTGGTGCCTCACTCCGCTGGACCCACCAGCAGCCCTTGAAAGTGGCGACAGTTTCACAGATCGCAGCCCCCCAGAGATGGCGAGGTCTAATCTGAGTCCCCGTGGTGCCTCACTCCGCTGGACCCACCAGCAGCCCTCGAAAGTGGTGACAGTTTCACAGATCGCAGCCCCCCCCAGAGATGGCGAGGTCTAATCTGAGTCCCCGTGGTGCCTCACTCCGCTGGACCCACCAGCAGCCCTCGAAAGTGGCGACAGTTTCACAGATCGCAGCCCCCCCCCAGGGATGGCGAGGTCTAATCTGAGTCCCCGTGGTGCCTCACTCCGCTGGACCCACCAGCAGCCCTCGAAAGTGGTGACAGTTCCGCAGATCGCAGCCCGCCAGGGATGACGTGAAAGGCAAGAGAAGAGAAGAGGAGGAGCGAAGAGAAGAGGAGAAGGCAAGCAAGAGAGGAGAGGAGGAGGGAAGAGAGGGGGGGGCGGGAGGAGGAGAACGGAGACCGCAGTGCTCTATTCAAAACGAGTACCCAACGCAGGAGGGTTGGGACATTTAAAAACAGGGTCTCGCAACACGGATGTTCAAACAACGCTTGTGCGCGCGTTCGTGCGAATTCTTAAGAAAACCATTCGTTCTTCATCATGTTCAGGAACTGCTACCAAACGGGCTTCGCGCGCGCATGCTGAACTCGTTCGAACGCCCGTGCGCGCGTGCTGTCGCGAGAGTCCTTTGCGACAAAATGGAACGAAGCCGCGCGCGCATGCCGAAATCTGTGAAAATCACTTTGCGACGCACCCAACCCATGTGCATCAAGTGGCAAGAGGAGTAGGCCAACATTGGCAGGAACAACGACAATGTAGACACGGTGATTTGTTGCGCAATCTACATGGGACGCGCATGCGTTGCACGACTCACAGGACGACGATCGAAAGAACGAGGATCCAGGCCCCAGGCTCGAAGAAGAACGGGGACGGGAACGAGGGGCAGGCGGGGGATGGAATGGGGGGGCGAAAGGCCATCGCGGCAGCAGCAGCATGCATGGAGCAGGTGAAGCGGGGAATAGGACGACAATGAAGGTGGCGGGAGGAGACAGAAAAGCGCCGCGTTTTCAGGTACACGCTAAACACTGAGCGCTGCCTGCGCCATGTCGTCGCAGCGTTCCACAGGCTCAAACCTGTTTATAGTAAGTGCAAGAAGCGAGCGAGACTTAGCTCGCCCGCTAGCTTCTCTGCCTCATCCCTGCACATTTAGTGCGGGAGCTGAACGTTCGCAGGCGCGCCGCCAGGTCTGCGGGCGGCCCGCGGGAAATGACACATTTTCACAGATCGCAGCCCTCCAGGGATGGCGAAGTCTAATCTGAATCCCCGTATGACGTCACTCCGCTGGCCACCTCAGCAGCCCTCGAAAGTGGCGACAGGTTCGCAGATCGCAGCCCCCCAGAGACGGCGAGGTCTAATCTGAGTCCCCGTGGGGCGTCACTCCGCTGGCCTCCCCAGCAGCCCTCGAAAGTGGCGACAGTTTCACAGATCACAGCCCCCCGGGGATGGCGAGGTCTAATCTGAGTCCCCGTAGGGCGTCACTCCGCTGGCCACCCCAGCAGCCCTCGAAAGTGGCGACAGTTTCACAGATCGCATCCCCCCAGAGATGGCGAGGTCTAATCTGAGTCCCCGTGGTGCCTCACTCCGCTGGACCCACCAGCAGCCCTCGAAAGTGGCGACAGTTTCACAGATCGCAGCCCCCCCCCAGGGATGGCGAGGTCTAATCTGAGTCCCCGTGGTGCCTCACTCCGCTGGACCCACCAGCACCCTCGAAAGTGACGACAGTTTCACAGATCGCAGCCCCCCAGAGATGGCGAGGTCTAATCTGAGTCCCCGTGGTGCCTCACTCCGCTGGACCCACCAGCAGCCCTCGAAAGTGGTGACAGTTTCACAGATCGCAGCCCCCCAGAGATGGCGAGGTCTAATCTGAGTCCCCGTGGTGCCTCACTCCGCTGGACCCACCAGCAGCCCTCGAAAGTGGTGACAGTTTCACAGATCGCAGCCCCCCCCCAGATGGCGAGGTCTAATCTGAGTCCCCGTGGTGCCTCACTCCGCTGGACCCACCAGCAGCCCTCGAAAGTGGCGACAGTTTCACAGATCGCAGCCCCCCCCCAGGGATGGCGAGGTCTAATCTGGATCCCCGTGGTGCCTCACTCCGCTGGACCCACCAGCAGCCCTCGAAAGTGGTGACAGTTCCGCAGATCGCAGCCCCCCAGAGATGACGTAAAAGGCAAGAGAAGAGAAGAGAGGAGGAGAAGGCAAGCAAGAGAGGAGAGGAGGAGGGAAGAGAGGGGGGGGCGGGAAGGAAGGAAGGTGGAGACCGCAGTGCTCTATTCAAAACGAGTACCCAACGCAGGAGGGTTGGGAAAAAAAACCATCGGTTTCGGAAGGATCTCAAAACCGAGCGCCCAAACAACCTACGGTAACACATGGTTCTGCAACATCCGCTTACAAAAAAAAAAAAAAAAAAAAAACGTGCGGTGGCGCCCTTGCGAATTATTTGAGAAAACCGTCGGTGTTTCAACATCGGGCCTCCCGCGCCGCGTGTCGACGTCAATCTCGCGCCCTTGCGCGCGTGTCGGGGGGGCACGATCGTGCCAAATACTACCGTGCAGGCCACTCTCGCGCGTCGGCCGCGCGCACATGTCGAACTCTTTTCAAAATCTTCATCACCGACGCGAGGGCGCAGTCATCGTCGTCGGCGTGATCAGCATCGCCCCCCGCACTGGACGCGCCGTCGTTGTTGCCAACATCGCCACCCGCATCGCTGCGATCATCATCGTGTCTACCGTTGCCGACGTTGCCATGATACCGAGCCCGCCCAAGTCGCCGACTCGCAGTGAAATGATCGCAGGGATGTGCCCAGAGGTCAGCGCCACCGCGGCCGCGTCGGTCGTGCCAAACTGGCTGGCCGCTGCGCGCGCGTGCTTGGGTTGGCGCGGCCGCCGAGGTGCACCAGCCAACGCCAGGCACGCGTCGCAATCGCCACCGCATGGGCTTTGCAAACCAAGTTGCGGGTGGATGGATGGGATGTTTGCGACAGCGTGGGGTTTGTCAACTCGTTTGTTTAAATCAATGTCGCACATATCTAGCGTTACAGAAAGCTCCCCGCATATATCGCCCTACATATTTAGCTGGGCGCACACTGTTTGGGATCCACGCGCATTCGTTCCGAGTCTGTTATTTTGTACACTTTGCGTGTTTGTCTTTCCGCTCTTGAGGACGCCCGCGTCGGGCCCAGAGGCCCCTAATATGGATCAGTATTGCCCACATAGGCCCTGAGACAGGCCCTCGCTGGCCTGAGAGGGGCCCAGCACGGCCCATGGGAACCCCTTGGCGCCCCGAGGAGGCTCCAGGAGGGGACACCACGCGCATGTCAATGCGAAACACGCTGACAGTCGAATCGGGAGCTTATCGGGGGCTTCCATTTAGTAAACCATTGAGATGTGACGTTGACCAGCCCCGCGATAGAACCTAAGTGCGCGTGCGGTTCTGGAGGTGAAAAATGACATTACATTACAGAGAGCATCCCGCACTACGCGACTCATGATCAGGAGAGTTCAGGTGCTTGTCGTTGAAGGCAAAGGGACACATAGCGGCAACCAAATCAGCTCTTCGTGGGCTCACCACGCAGTGCATGTGCGTGCTAGGATGTAGCTTCTGCGTTCGGAAGAGCAGTGTGACTCTGCGATCTTTAGCTTTCGTGTTTCGATTGGCGCCCCCGACTCGGTGGTTCCATGTTTTTTTCTTCGTTTCCATATGACACCAGGTGGGGGCTCATAAGGAGCACGTGGACCACAGAATGCGATCAAGTGAACGGTACGTGATTTTGGTTTTGGCTTGCTGTCAGCAGTCGCTTCTCATGCTGACTGCAGCCCACGGCAATTGGCAAACGTGGCCGTGCCACGACAGGTCGAACACGTGCAACTGTTGAATTGAAGGGAGCTGGTTGTGCAGCACAGTTCGGCGATGGGTTTTGAGAGAGTTGCTGAATATCAAGGGATCTGGCAGTATTCCCGTGCCCAAGTACACCCACGAGGTCGTCACCGTCTGGTACCGGCCTCTGGAGATCCTCCTGGGCTCACCCCTCTACAGCGTGCCGGTGGACCTATGGAGTATCGGCTGCGTCGCCGCCGAGATGGCCACCGGGGCGCCGCTGTTCGCGGGCGACTCAGAGATCGATACCATTTTCAAGATATTCCAGAAGCTCGGCACCCCGACGACGGAGCAGTGGCCAGGCCTCTCCGACCTCCCGGACTTCAAGCCCAGCTTCCCGAAGTGGCCGCACAGGGGTTGGGACAACATCCGCAACACCAAGGCTCGTATCTGAGGATTAGTGGCAGGGGATGTCACATGACTGGCAACAGACTGTCGATTTCACGAGAGGGGCGTGCAGAGGAGTACGCGCAATTTCTGCGCCAATCGTTTCCTCGTCATACTTCTCGCTCTCCGCCCGCTCATGTGCTTGGCCCAGTCATGATTCCCGCCTCGCCTTTTTTTCGCTCATAATCCTCGTATTGCTCTCGCGTAGGTTGATTGTACAGTCGGGGCCCTGAAGAAGGAACCCTTTTCGTTGGGGAAGGGCTCGGTGTTCCTTGATTGTTCTACAGCTTGCCTTAGGTTTTCATGAGATTTTCCATGGGAGATCGAAGTGTAACTTATGGGAAAAAGGGGCATCGTTCCTTATTTAGGGTTCCTTAGGTCAACGCCCCGACTGTACTTTCATCTCTCTCGTCGTCTTCCCTGGGGCACCAGGTCCCCCTCCACAGTGGCCCCTGAGCCGCGCGGCTTCAGGGGGCCACGCGGTGCCGCGGGCGGGGGGTCAGTTTGGGGACACTGAGGTCGAGTTGTTGTTTTTGTTCCGTGGGCGCCGCTGAGCAACTCCTCCTCCTCCTGCTCCTCCTCCTCCTCCTCCCTCCGTCTCCTCCTCCTCCTCCTCCTCCTCCTCCTCCTCCTCTCCTCCTCCTCCTCCTCCCTCCGTCTCCTCCCCTCCTCCTCCTCCTCCTCCCTCCTCCCTCCTCCTCCTCCTCCTCCTCCTCCTCCTCCTCCTCCTCCTCCTCCTCCTCCTCCTCCTGCAGTGTCGGTCAGAAGTGGTCACCGATCTTAGCACTCGGCCGCCAAGTGTCATCGGTGCTTACGGTGCGCATTGGGGAAGCACTGGAGGGTTGCTGGCACGGGCGGAACGAGTTGTGAACGCCCTAATTTAGAGATGGATGGGGGAGGGTCGAGAGGGGCAGTGGACCGGTGCCGATGATTGGCTTGGCTGCGCATGTCACCTCCCTTTCTGCCCACTAATGCTTGTCGCGGTCTGTTGCTGAGCCAAAGGCGCAAATGGGCTCAGTGGGCATCGAGTTGCTCGAGAGCCTCATGGAGACCGCCTCTCTTTGCTTTCGTTTCGAAGTATACAGGGATGTCCACGGTGAGACGAACAGGCGGACGACGACCTCATGCAGAGTTGCGATGCAGGTGGCGAGGAGTTACGAGGAGGAGGAACAGGAGGAGGAGGAGGACGTCCATGACGATGAGTAGGACGACGACGAAGCACGGGGAAGTGCAGGACGATTTTGCAGCACAGCGGCAAGCCAGACTGATCACAGGCGAGTGGGGGGAATCGGGGAATCGGCAAGCGCCGAGCTGTAGCGTTATCGGCACGTGGCCGAATGAGGAGGATGTGGGAGGAGAGAAAGAGCAGAAGAGAGGAGGAGAGGAGGAGGGGAGGAGAAGGTGGAGACGGAAGGGAGGAGGAAAAGTGGGAGGAGGAGAACGAGGAGGACGAGGAGGACGAGGAGGACGAGGAGGACGAGGAGGACGAGGAGGAGGAGGAGGAGGAGGAGGAGGAGGAGGAGGAGGGAGGAGGAGGAGGAGGACGAGAGGGGTGGTGAAGAGCAGGAGCACGCGTGCGCGCACCTGCCACGGCGCGGCCTTGGGGCCAGGGCCGCCTGCGCACGCGGGCCGATCGCCGCAGGGGCCCGGGCGCCGCCCGTGCCGCCCGTCACGCAGAGGCAGGGGCCGGACCGCGCGCCGTCGCGGCGGCTTCGCCAAAGCTCTAGGCATCCCAGATGGGGTCCGAGTAGATGGTGTCGGAGGACCGCGCCGTGCAGTCCAACATCCAAATAAGGGCGCGCGGCTCTGCTCAGGGTACCCTTGCGTCCTTGCTCTTCCTTGCCCTGGCGTCCTTGGGGTTTTCGTCGTCCGCCGCCCCAAGAATCCCAACTTCGGCTTCCAAGGGTCTTGCGTCCTTACCGCGCGTTCTTATTAGGGTTTTTGACTGTATCGTCGATGCATCGGTGATGCGGCTCGATGTGGGGCCAGTGTTTCCCCACGCCGACGTCGCCGATGCATCGGCGATGCATTGGCGATGCGGCGCGACCCTTCGACCCCATCTACTCCGACCACATCTAGGAGGCTTCTAAAAACGCGAGGAGGCGGGGGCCTGGGGGCCTCGAGGTGGGCCCCTCGCCAGGGTACGCGTCTGCTCTGGGACACGTTCGGCCTCCCCGTGGACCACCGGAGCAAGGAAGAGGAAGGGAGGGGAAGGAGCAGGAAGAAGCAGGAAGGAGCAGGAAGAAGGAGGAAGGAGGAAGGAGGAAGGAGGAAGAGGAGGAGGAGGGGGCAGCTGAGGGGGCAGCTGGGGAATGGGCCCGGGTCGCCAGGGAGGAGATGGGAGGTCCCAGACATCCGAAGATGTGATTTGCCCGAAGATGTGATTTGCTCAGCCGGCGTTTTTCCCTCTATTTCGGCCCCTTTGGGGGGGAGGCGTTTGCGGGCCCCGCGCCGTCAGAAACATATCTGGGAGGATAAGGTGCCCCCAGGGAAGCAGTCGGGATTTTTGGGCTGGGTGATGCACAAAAACCAGATCGTTGGGTTGTCATGGGGGGGGCACAGCGGGGTGCGGGCCGCCGCGGCGAGACGGCCAGGCGTACGACCCGAAGAAGCGCCTGTCGGCCCGGCGGGCGTCGCCTCCCTATGGTTCCCGGAGGTCTCGGGGGCGGCCAAGAGGGGGGCTATAATTGGGGGGGTGTGGATATCATGGCGGGGGCCATGATATGTCCACAGATTTCATGGCGCCTCTTCGTATTTCAACACGTCCCCGGTCCCCCCCCTCTGCGCCCCCGCCTCTTGGACGCCCCCCTCTTGGCCGCCCCCACAGGTCGCGCGCGGTCCCTGCCGTCCGAGATCGCGCGATCGCCATCTTCCATGATCAGTCAGCGCTGCTCCCTGCCTACTCATCGCTCAGTGTGCCGTTCGCTCTCCCAGCTCTTCCGGCCCATACATGCACACGTACGTTTCGACCGGATTGTGTGTGCCACCGGCCGTTGTGGAAACATTTGTGGAACATTCGGGGAGGAGGACGGAGGAGGAGGACGACGACGACGAGGACGACGAGGATGAGGACGACGAGGAGATGGAGGAGAAGCCGCTTGGTGCAGGGACGGCCCAAAAGGAGAAGGAAGAGAAGGAGGACTCTCGGGGCCTCCTGGGCCTTCCCTTGAACCTCTTGGCCCGTCTCGCGCTTTCGGAGGCCAGCTTTGGCGCCTCCCTGGTCCACATTGAAGGTCTCGTGGGCCGTATTCGGGGCCTCTTGGGCCATCATATGCCACTCTTGGGGCCCTCTTGGGGGAGCATATTGGGCTGCCTTTTGCAATGTTGAAAGCAGCTTGAGCCGTCTTAGGCACTCGGAAGCCCTAAGAGTCGGGAGCGCTCAATCCTTTAACAACCTATGGGAGTCAATGATGTTGGCATCTCCTAGCCTTCCTGGAGGGCCTCTCGGAGTTTTCGTGGGCCGTCTTGGGAGCCCCCTGGGCCGTGTCGAGGTAGTATTGGCCGTTCGAGGTTGTATTGGGCCATCTTGAAGGCATCTTGCGCGAACTTGAAGGGCAGAGTGAAGGACGTTTTGGGCAGACTCCTCACTTTTCTCTCTTGCTCATATTTCCTACTACACTCCAGCGCCCCCTCCTGCTTCACCCGCACGGCTTGGGCAGGGGAGTCCGCCAGAAGATCCATCCCTCGCTCGTTCGATAGGTTGCGGCGAGCTGCCGCCACTGAGCCCCCACCTCCCAGGGCTCGGAGCCGTTCTGGGCGGGCAGGCAGGAACCGAAACGGAGCGACACTCGAGGGAGGGGGTCCCGAAATGGATACCCCCCTTTCTCGTCCTGTTTCCTCCTCCCTCTCTCTCTCTCTTCCCCTCTTCCTCCTCCCGCTCCTCCTCGTCGGCCTCGTGCTGAGGCTGCTGCACCCCTACTTCGCAGACGCAGAGCGCCGCGACGGCTTCTAAGATGGCGCCCGCGCGCTCCACCGCCGCTGGCATCCTCGAGGCGGGCTGGGGGGGAGGGGACATGCAGACGGAGGAGGAGGAGTGAGGAAAGGAGGAGGAGGAAGAGGAGGAGGAGGAGGAGGAGGTTGGGGAGGAGGAAGGAGGAGCTCAGACCGTTGGAGGACCGCCTGGAGCCGGCCCACAGGCTGTGTCGAGGGCCCTGGGACGCCGTCGTGGGTGGTCAGACGTGTCCTAGATCTAGAGGTGATGTTCCAGGCGACCGGGCCAACCGTGCATCCACTTTCAACCCATGTTTTGTCTTGTCTAATAGCAATCTTCGGGATCGGGGCGACGGAGTCTTGGTCCAGACAAAAGTCTGTGTTGCCAAGTACTGGTCCCCGCTGTGACGGACGAGGCGCGGCAGCCCGTGACCAAGCGGAAGCAGCCGTCTCGCGCCATCTCGGGCGACGGCAGGCCCCCCTGGCGTCGCGGCGCTGCAGTGCCATGCGCGGGCAGTCCCGTGTGGATTCCAGGTGGCCCAGTTCGGGCCGCCACCCGAGGTGCTCGCCTGGGAGGCGCACGGCAGCTTTGAACACGCTCCGCCTGCCTGTCGTCGCTGCCCCTGGCAGGGGGAATGCCGCGTGGCTCCTGCCGGGACGGTGCAGCCCAAGACGCGCGCACGTGTGCGGCCGCTCTCGCGGCGCGGGCACGCCCGGCGGTGAAGGCCTTCTCAATGCGGGCAATTTTTTTGTCTATATCCACTGCAGTATGGAGTTTCGGGCTCCTTTCCCAAGAAACCCGAGGCGCACTGGATATTGATAAATTTGCCCCCTAGAGGCGCGATGTTTATCCATATCCAGTGCGCCTCGGCCTTTTGGCGCCGCTTCCAAAAAAGTCCAAAAGGCACTGGATATGGACATGAATCTTGTCCGCATGAGCTCAAGCTGCGGCAGCTTCGGATCGACAAGACCTACGACGACGACGACGACGCCGCCTCGACGACGACGAAGACGACGACGACGACGACGACGAAGACGACTACTATGCCGACCATAAACGCAGACAAGGCGTTGAAACAGGATCATCTCGGGCTCAGGAGGGGATCTGTCGGGCCGAACGAAAGGGGGGGATAGGGAATGGGGGGGTCACGAAATCTGCTGCATGCAGCTAGCTTCGGCCCCGCCGCCGGGCCCATGCCTCGATACACGGGCGCCTTCCGGCGCCGGGAGGCGCTGGGAACATCAGCCTTGTGAGCTGATTCTCTACCCTGCCCTTTGCTGTCCTCCCCTTTCGCTCCCCCCGAGAGTTGGGAGCTGACCCCCTGCCTCGGACGTGCATCATAGCTCGTGCAACCCCTTGGAGGAACACCGGCAGGCGCTGGCGGCTGCCTCGGGCTTAATTACGCGGGACAGCGGCGAGCACGCTCGGCAGCACTGGCCAGGCAGAGCAGGCATCACCACAGCCTCAAGTATCTCTCGGCTTGTCGCCGTCAGATTGTGCCAAGATGCCCTCGTCCACCTTCTCCCTCCCCCCTGACCCCCTCGAGCCTCTCTTTTTCTCCGACCTGCGCTCGCGCCCTCTGCTCGGAACGTGGTGGGTGATCTGAACGCCCTGGTGGGGCGTGGACCACCCATGCATATGTATACATTGTTCTTCAGATCTAGGATGAAGTGCAAATCAACCATGCTGCTTCGGATTCCTGGACGCGGACACGGTGTCACTCTACGCGAAGTGTAACGCGCTGTTTGGGTGCAGTCCAGCAGCATATGCCACGAACTGCACTGGGCCCTTCGAATCGACCGCCCACGACGTGTGGAACTCGGGTTGGTTACTGAGTAATTTCTCGAGTATCGTCAAGCATCGGCAGTGCGGTCTATGGGCATAGCAGCGTGCCCGTGCCAGAGCGGTTGCTTATGTTACACCCTTTAATACCCCCAATTTAGATTCGGCGACCTTCCCTGCTAATTTTCCACTGTTTTTGTTCAGGCCAGTGGCTTCTGCAAGTACTTTCAACCTGTGGGTCGGTGTCATATTTTGCCAGTTGTTTATTCAGTCGCACTTTCCACTATTCCACAACATGTGAGCGATATGTTCTGCAGAGCCTTGACGTTGCTGCCTGCAGGAGAAAACTGCAGCCCATTGCCATGATCAGCAGGGACGTTTCAATACCTGGATTTGTCTTCAGGGCATATCAGTAGTCGGTCGCTCTCTTTCGTCGTCTGTCCAGCGTGAGCTCACAGCAGCATGCACGGAGGAACGCCAACGATACATTCTAGTGTGTATGTTTCTTTTCAGTCACCTCTTTGGGTTGCCCCAAAGGAAGAAGTCCAAAGGCTTCTTTCGAAATTTCACGACTCCACTGGCATCAGTGATGTGAACAGATCCGTCGAGTTTTGGGTTGACGCCAGGTCATTAAGATTCAGCGGGTGTCAGCTTCGCGACGTACAGCGTTCGTCTGCACATATTTTCTTCTGTGCCCCTCGGTTGGCTGTTGTCCCGCTTCGTGTCCTCCGTCTCCTGCCTTGATCTGACGTATTGGCGCCGTGCGTCTGGGTTCTGCGTTTCCTTGCGCACGCGATCTTGCAGTCGGTGTGCAGCCTGCCAGTTGCACGTCGCCTTTCCCGCAGAGGTTCGGATGCAACTCCTGGGAGGTCAAATTCTGATGTTGCCCTTGTCCGAAGTCCAGCTTACTCCCGCTTAATCCTGCTTGATCCCGCTTAATCCCGCCTAGTCCGAGGCCCACTCTGGCGTTACAGCCCCGCAATGGGGCTCAGTCCTCCTGAATCTTTCCGACCAGGATCTCCCAGCAGCTGCTTCCTAACAGTCGATGTGCAGCTTGCCAGTTGCACGTCGCCTTTTCCCGCAGAGGTCCGCCCCCTCCCCGCGGCCGCCCTCGTCTCGCCGTTTCTCCCTGGGGCAGTGTTCTCAGAAAGCGCCGCTCGTCCGGACCTTCCCGTTCGGAGCGAGCGCCCGCGAGGCGACGCAGGAGGAGGAGGAGGAGGAGGAGGAGGAGGAGGAGGAGGAGGAGGAGGAGGAGGAGGAGGAGGAGGAGGAGGAGGAGGAGGAGGAGGAGGAGGAGGAGGAGGAGGAGGAGGAGTCTTGTTGAGGAGGCTCGGCACGAGTTCGGCCCCAATCGAACCCACCACTTTTTTACCAACTCGAGAAAGTCGCCCCGCGGCTAAAGGAAGAGGAGGGCAGCAGCAGGGAGGGGAGGGGAGGAGGAGGGAAAACAACAGCAAAAGCAAGCAGTGCAGGCGCGGCCAGGCCGGCGCCTCCGCGCGCCCCGGCCTTGCGGGGCGCGCGCCCCCGCCGCGCGGCCAGGGCCCCGGCAGCCCCGAGGGCGCCGCCGCCGCAGCCCGCAGCGCGGCGGCGCAGCAGCGCCGGGCGCCGCTAGGCTGGCCCGGCCGGCCGCGCGGCCTCGGCAGCCGCCTGCTGCCACTGCAGCGCCCGCCCGCGCGCGGCGGCGTCGGCCGCGTCGCGCTCCACGAGCGCCTCGGAGCCGCCCCCGCGCCTCCCGGAAGCTGAGGCCGCGCAAAGCGACCCCCAGCAGCGGCGCGAGCTCCCGCGCGGTGGCCCAGCCGCCCGCGCCCAGGCGCTCGCCGAGCGCCCCGGTCAGCTCAGCGCGGGCGAGCGCGAGGCAAGCGGCCTCGTCGCCCGCGCCGTGGCCGGCGCCGGCAAGGGGCGCTTCCGCCGCGCCCTCCTCCGCGCCGCTGCCCGCCGGTGAGCACGCCAGCGGCCAGTCCGCGGGGCGGCGCCGGCGCGAGCGGCGGTTGGAGCGGCTCTCCGGGGCTGGCTGCCAGCCCTCCGCCGCTTCCGAAGCGCCCAGAACGCCCGCGCCCGTGGGGCCGCGGGCCGCCCCCGCCCTGGGGCGCTCGCCGCGGCCGCGCTGCCGGGGGCGCCGCGGGCCGCCTCCGCCGCGGAGGCGCTCGCCGCGGCGCCGGCCGCCGTGCCGTCTCGGATCGGCCGCCGCTGGTCGCCTCCGAAACGCCCAGAGCGCCCGCACCAGCGGGGCCGCTGGCCGCTCCCGCCTGGGAGCGCTCGCCGCGGCCGCGCTCCCGGGGGCCCTTGCCGTGGCGCCACCGCGCGAGCGGCGCTGCGGGCCGCCTCCGCCGCGGAAGCGCTCGCCGCGTCGCCGGCCGCCGTGCCGTCTCGGCCGCCGCTGCCCGCCTCCGAAGCGCTGGGCGCGCCGCGGGCCGCCCCAGGGGCGCTCGCCGCGGCGCCCGCCAGGCGCGCCTCCGAGGAGCCTGCGCGGGCCGCCTCCGCCGGGGAGGCGCTCGCCGCGCGCGCGCGCCAGCAGCAGGCGCGGCCAGCGGCGTCGCAGAGCTGCCGCCGCGGGCTGCCTCCAGGCTCAGGGAAGCGCTCGTCGTCGGCGCGCCGTGCGCAGCCGGCGAGGGCGCCTGCTGCTGGCCGCCGGCCGCTGCCGGCCGCGGCCCGCCCCCGCCGCCCGGGGTGCCGTCGTCCTCGGCGTCGGCCCAGGAGGGTCTCGGCGCCGGCCCGAAGCCCGCCCGCGCCGGGTCGAGCAGGGTGCGCCCCCAGGGGCCGTCGAGCGCGTCGCACGACCCCTCAAGGTCGTTCTCGCTCCCGCTGGGGGTGCGCTCGCCCGTCCTTGAGACTCCAAGGTCGATCTATAGTGCGGGGTCGAACTATAATGCGGGGGTTATACTTTTCTGCGGGTCGATCTATAGTTCGGGCGCGCCGAAAATAGTTCGACCCGCCGTTTTGGGGCAAACGGGGCTTCAGCGCCCATGCTCGCGCTCGCCCCACTGGGAGGGGTCCAACATATATTTGAGCCGACAGCAATGAATGATAACGATACACACAGAAGCATTCTTTTCAAAGCATGCGCACAATCGGCTGGCCGCAGAACTTAGAGATGCATGCCACCGAAAACGCTCTCATGGACCTCCTTTGGCCCCTCCTTCGGCCAAATGCAGCTACAGATCCACCGAAATCCTCATCCCTATAGTTCCAGTGCTTCGCTGGTTCACCGCCGCCCATGCACAGCTCCAGAAACATGTGCATTTTAGGCTTCACTTTAAAATGGGCAGGAAGCGCGTCTTG